GACTGTTCTAACTCATATAAATTAATACATATATATTTATTAGTTTATTCAACAAAATTTTGAATACTTACTAAGAGCAAGAATTGCTTATAAGGAAGCCTTATTAATATCAATAATTCTTAAATAAGAACACCAGCTTTCATCACTTACAATTACATCACTCACATCTATGGGTTGCACATTTTTTTTGTATTTTTGACTTTTTTCCTTCAGAGCACATAGAACATTTTGAAACTAAAGTTCTTCACAGGTAAGTATTAGAGAAAATATTTTGACCTGCTTATTACCCAACGAAGGGGATTTGTGTCTTATTTCTCTATTGTTGGGAATTGCAAAAATGTGGAATTCCTAAGGCCAATAGAGTCAGTATGGACAGATAAGTTAGGGCTGTAATCATCTGCAATTTGTGTGCAGCTTAAGAAACCAGAAGATGGAGATAATCTCTTGTAATGGCTCATAAGGTTTAGAATTTTTATTTTGTTTTCCCTCTATGCGTGTGGCTGTGTCCTGTAATCCTAGCACTCTGGGAGGCTGAGGTGGGAGTATCGCTCAGGTCAGGAGTTCAAAACCAGCCTGAGCAAGAGCGAGACCCGTCTCTACTAAGAATAGAAAGATTAATTGGACAACTAAATATATAATAAAAATAGCCGGCATGGTGGCGCATGCCTGTAGTCCCAGCTACTTGGGAGGCTGAGGCAGGAGGATCGCTTGAGCCAAGGAGTTTGAAGTTGCTGTGACTAGGCTGATGCCACAGCACTCTAGCCAGGCAACGAAGTAAGACTCTGTCTCAAAAAAAAAAAAGAATGGGGAAAATGTAGTAACAGTAATCATTAACTAGGAAAGATGGGTAACTACTAAAAGCATAAAAGAGGATTCCGAAGGTCTTGAAATAGCAAATGCAGAAAGCAACTACTCCCCTAGACTGAGGGAGAGTATACAAGAAAAATTAAGAATTTACAAGAGGCCTCCACCTAAGAACCTCTTTGGAGATGGTATGCAACCTCAGGAACAAAGTATGAAGGTGGTAAAGGAATGGCCAAAGGTGGGCAGAACTGGTCATCAAAGAGACCACTGAGAAACTTGCCAGGGAGTTTCGTCGACCAAAGCTGGGCCTTCTATATCACACACATGCATGCACACACAACTGGGCCTTATACATCTCACACATGCTGGGCCTTCTATATCACACACACAACACACCTGGGCCTTCATCACACACATACACACGCTGAGCCTTCTTCATCACACACATACACACACTGGGCCTTCTACATCACACACACACACACACACGCTGGGCCTTCTACATAACACACACACACACACACCTGGTCCTTCTACATCGACACGCACACACACATGCTGGGCCTTCATCACACACACACACATACACATGCTGGGCCTTCCAAATCACACACACACACACCACCACCACCACCACCACCACCACACCCCCAGGAAGGGAAGCTTTCTGATGCTGCAGCCTTGCAGTGCCCTCCCAGCGCCCTCTGTTGACAAAGGCTAACATTAAGCCAGGTGCCAAAGGGGAGTCATGAACAGGCTGGCTCTAGTATAACAAATTAGTACAAAGAAGGGTGGATTTGGATCTGCAGGCCACATGGTCTCCTTTCACCTCTCCTTTCCCATCTTCCTGCTTCTTTTCCCTTTCCAGGTTATATTGAAGTAGTTTGGTCGAAGTAGTTTGTTGAACCACAGTCAAGAATTTTTGTTTAAAATTTGTAAATCAGGTGACACTCATTCTTCCATGTATTTTTCCATAGAAAAGGAATTAAGTTGCATTTTTACTCTCTTTGGTTTAAATTACTTTGTTTAATAATTCCCTAAGATTCAGTGACCTAGTCGATGTTAGGTGTTTGCACCCTCCAGGTGCAAGTTATCTTGGGTCCTGGAGTGGTTACACCCTTCTTCCTCAAATTTACAATCCAATTAGCAACCCTGACATGGGAAATAACTAATAACAGATCTGTTGATAACAGATACTAAATGATTATCCATACTACCCCATTAATACTTGATAAAAATATGCATGTGAGGCTCATTCACACTAAGTCCTCTCAAAGTCACTGTAGTTTGAAAGGCTACTTTTTTTTTTTTTTTTTTTGAGACAGAGTCTCACTTTGTTGCCCAGGCTAGAGTGAGTGCCGTGGCGTCAGCCTGGCTCACAGCAACCTCAATCTCCGGGGCTCAGCGATCCTACTGCCTCAGCTCCCGAGGAGCTGGACTACAGGCATGCACCACCATGCCGGCTAATTTTTGTATATATATTTAGTTGGTCAATTAATTTATTTCTATTTTGGTAGAGACGGGTCTCGCTCAGGCTGGTTTCGAACTCCTGACCTTGAGCAATCGCCCGCCTCGCCTCCAAAGTGCTAGGATTACAGGCGTGAGCCACCACGCCCGGCTGAAAGGCTACTTTTAAATGAATAATCTACATCCTTAAAGGCTATTTTCAGACGCAGTGGCTCACGCCTGTAATCCTAGCACTTTGGGAGGCCGAGGTGGGCGGATCGTTTCAGCTCAAGAGCTTGAGACCAGCCTGAGCAAGAGCGAGACCACATCTCTACTAAAAATAGAAGAAATTGCTGGACAACTAAAAACATATAGAAAAAATTAGTGGGCATGGCAGCACATGCCTGTAGTCCCAGCTACTCGGGAGGCTGAGGAAGAAGGATCGCTTGAGCCCAGGAGTTTGAGGTTGCTGTGAGCTAGGCTGACGCCACAGTACTGTAGCCTGGGCAACAGAGTAAGACTTTGTCTCAAAAAAAAATAAAAGGCTGTTCCTGATTGATTATAGACGTTATTATTTATAAGCTTACCATTTACTTTACATTATGACATAGGCACCATAGAAAACTTTACATACATTATCTCAATTTATTCATCACAGTATGCTACGAGGTAGACAGTATTATCTCTTCTCCAAGTGAGGAAAGATTAAGGAACTTGCTCTATACCACACAGCTAGTAAATGACATGTTGTTTTCAAGCCCATGTATTAGCCACCATACCATATTGCCTCATGATAGATAACAGATCTTAAATGAACATTTGGAACAAATCAACTTTAGAGAAATTAAAGAAACAAATAAAAATCCAGAAATGGACTTTACAATTTTTTTAAAGAAAGAGTAAATCAAGCAATAGTGGCTGGTCCAAATGCAGTGGTGTTTACATAATTGATCAGAACCAGTTACAGATTCCTTTGTTCCTCTCCACTCCTATTGCTTCACTGTGACAGCCTAAAATATATCTATAAAAGAAAAAAAAAAAAACAGGCAGTAGTGAATTGCCCCTTGCCCACTGTGGCATTACAACTAATTTCACCATCTCTCCATTTTCTTCCAGTTCCACTGTTGCTCAGCCATCTGAGATGCCCCATCTCCTGGTGTGGAGTGATGGTGAAGATAATGTACTACTGAAGATGTAATGTAGCTTTCCACTGGAGTCTGGGATTTGCAATTCTGGAGGTTAATCATGCTTGTACTGTAATTTTACTAATGAAGTTTTAAATTAACAACCACTACTTGTATGATATGAATAATATTAGAAATGTTACTAGACTTTTAATCTTTGTAAAGTGGTTGTGCTTTTAGAAGAAAAATATTTTATCCAGAGTTGCACATGTTTTATGAATTTAGTGCAGCTGTTATGGCTCACCTCAGAACAAAAGAGAATTGAACCAAATTTGGGAGTTTGGGTTTTATGTTTTGTTTTTTGTTTCTCTTTTTTAAAATGAAGTGAGATTGTTCACACACACAAACAAAACACACACACACAAAGAACAGTCATACATTTTGATATTGAGCCATTCCTAAAGATTGGGGTTTCTAAAACTAAAGAATCTAGAAACCTTGCCTGCGACCAATCATGGAGCCACGTGAGCTGATCGTGGCTGCACCTGGGGGGAGGGGGAGGAGGGCATGCCACCTAATGATCAAGCCCTATAATTAGCTTCTCATTAGAGCCGTGATGGTGATGTGTGCTGTCTAAAATCCAATGTTGTGGTAAGAGATGAGTTTGTGACTAGGCGAGACTAAACTTTTGTTTTCCTCACCCAGTATAATATTATATTTATATTTAATCTATTTTTATTAGAAGTTTTCTGCTCTTTCTTACAATAAAGAACCCCAAGCATGCATCTTTCATGTGTGTAAATAATTCATTTCTGGCTAATTTCAACAGAATCCCAACATTACTGTATAGAGAGAGAACTAGCTTGCACATTTTAGGTCTGTGAAATTTGTGAGACTTTTCCTGCACTGGACAGTAAAAAAATAACTGACTCATATGTTTACTGAGCTAAAAAAGGGGATAATTTTTTCCTTAGTTTTTTAATGGAGCAATGAGCTAAAAAGTTTATGATTTTCAAGTAAACCTGAAACTAGAATATTAAGTATTCTGATTTAAAGTGCCAAAAAACACAGGCTAGACTAGACTCCTGGTATTCAGACTGAGCTCTTAAAATGTGGCAGTCAGATCACTATCTGCTGCCTAATTCCAGCAGCTTTAGATATGCTTTTGCCCTACTCTGATATTTGAAGAGAATAAAATTTCAAGCAACTTCAGAAAATTGCCAGTGTGATCACATCTCTTCTAAATGTTGGCACATATTTAGAAAATATAGCCTGTTATTTAAAATGTAAACTTACCCTCTTGGAAGTATTACATATTTAATGTCATGATATTTGTCATTTTTGACCCTGCATACATCTCAAGGCAGAAACTTTTCAGAATTTTAGCAAAAAGGCATTTCTAAGTGCTATATAGTAGTAGCTGATAACAGTAGTTTTCCTAAGTCATATACTCCCTATAAATGCTATGTTACCCATCTTTAAATTCAGTGATCCTTCTTTGCACAGGATTTGCTGTAAATTAAGTGTAGGCTTTGTAAAGCAGTTATTGTGTCCTGTGAAAGATCCTGTGTGGACAGTCATGTTTATATGTAGTGTTGATGTACTGGTCTCTAAATTTGATTTCAGTCCAAAAGAATATCCGCTAAGGATGCCTTAGCCCACCCCTACCTAGATGAAGGGCGACTACGCTATCACACCTGTATGTGTAAATGTTGCTTTTCCACCTCTACTGGAAGAGTTTATACCAGTGACTTTGAGCCTGTCACCAATCCCAAATTTGATGACACTTTTGAGAAGAACCTCAGTTCTGTCCGACAGGTTAAAGGTGAGTATCTGTTTTGGCCTTTGGCCAAGCAAGATGACTAGTAACTTTTTCTGTTAGGTGGCCAGGAAGAGCTGAGGTCTGGGTGGTGACCAAAGCTTCTCCATAGGCTTATTTTACAACCTTGAATATAGTTATTTGTCCAGGATATAAAAATGCTGATTTAATATTACATCTAGGGGAAGGTCAAAGAAAGAAATGAATATTTTGTCCTTGTTTTCAAAGTTTATTCAGTGAATGTGACTCAAAACATATTTGATATGTATTTACTCAGTGTCATTTCATTGAGTGAAACACATTGGACTTCTTTATGTAACATACAAAATTTCAAAAAGGATAAAAATTTACTGAGGTAATCATTGCTTGGATGATGACAAGAGAAAGAAATTTCTGATAGTTTACTTGTAAAATTGCATTGCACAATCTTCTATTATGATAGGGTGGGAATAATGACATCCAAAATTCTGAATGATTTTAGTGACTTGCTCCTAGGACATTTTGGAATAGAAAAGGTAGTCCCCAAAGTAACTACCCAAAACTGCATACCTAAAGCTACCAACTAATGTTTTTAAAATGATCTTCAAAAAGGCAGTAATTACCAACAACCTAGAAGAGTTCACTCGTAATGCTAACCCTGTGGAGTCTCTCTCAAATTTGTAGAACATTTTATTCTTCCCACTGATGGGGTTTCTAGGTAATGTCACCATTGGGTTTTTTGCTTATGTTTAGCAACAACTGTCATTTTAGTTTCAGGAAAGTTCAGCTGAATTCTACTTGATAGATGATGTGTATTTGATTTAATTAAACCAGTAGGAAATGCTGTTCAAATGCTCGCTAGAATTAGCTGAGAATTCACTGCTCCCAGGCCTGCAAATTGGCATGGATTATATGATGTTTGTTTTCTCCACAGAAATTATTCACCAGTTCATTTTGGAACAGCAGAAAGGAAACAGAGTGCCTCTCTGCATCAACCCTCAGTCTGCTGCTTTTAAGAGCTTTATTAGGTAACTATATGTATGTAATTCTGACATTCTTTTTAGAATTAAAAGGATGCTGTTGTGATTTTGTTGGCATATTTCTGTTTTTATTTAGATTAGATAACATAGATAAAAGGTCAGACAGAAACAGTTTCTGTTAATGAACTTTGGCTTTAGAAAAAGCATATTAGAAATGTAAGTTTCAGTTTCCACACTATTGCCAGTTCACCTTGGTTGCTTTGCAGTTTTTCCCCCAGGTGACCATTGTGCCACCTGATCGTGTATATGAGGTCCCACTGCAGCAGCAGCATGGCAGCCACCTGCCCTGGAGTTAGTCATGGTCACCTCCATTCCCACTACTATTCCAACCCCCTTAATAATAACTAGAAGCAAGAAAATGTTGGGTTTTTTTATAGGTCGACTGCTGGTATGGCTATTAAGAGGAGAAGCCAACAGGCTTATGGTAGAGCTATCAACCTACTTTGGAACCTAGCAAGCTTCATTCTCCTGTGTCTCTTTGTCCTTTCCTTCTCTTAATCCCTTTTCCCCTAACTCTTTATATCAATCAGGGTCTTGTCAGGAAAAAGAAACCACTCTAGTAATAAGAATGGGGAAAATTGGCCAGGCGTGGTGGCTTATGCCTGTAATCCTAGCACTCTGGGAGGCTGAGGTGGGAGTATCGCTCAAGGTCAGGAGTTCAAAACCAGCCTGAGCAAGAGCGAGACCCCGTCTCTACTAAGAATAGAAAGAAATTAATTGGACAACTAAATATATATATAAAAAATTAGCCGGGCATGGTGGCGCATGCCTGTAGTCCCAGCTACTTGGGAGGCTGAGGCAGGAGGATCGCTTGAGCCAAGGAGTTTGAAGTTGCTGTGAGCTAGGCTGATGCCACAGCACTCTAGCCCAGGCAACAGAGTAAGACTCTGTCTCAAAAAAAAAAAAAAAAGAATGGGGAAAATGTAGTAACAGTAATCATTAACTAGGAAAAGATGGGTAACTACTAAAAGGCATAAAAGAGGATTCCGAAGGGTCTTGAAATAGCAAATGCAGAAAGCAACTACTCCCCGTAGACTGAGGGAGAGTATACAAGAAAGAAATTAAGAATTTACAAGAGGGCCCTCCACCTAAGAACCTCTTTGGAGATGGTATGGCAACCTCAGGAACACAAAGTATGAAGGTGGTAAAGGAATGGGCCAAAAGGTGTGGGCAGAACTGGTCCATCAAAGAGACCCACTGAGAAACTTGCCAGGGAGTTTCGGTCGACCAAAGCTGGGCCTTCTATATCACACACATGCATGCACACACACACTGGGCCTTATACATCTCACACATGCTGGGCCTTCTATATCACACACACACACACGCTGGGCCTTCATCACACACATACACACGCTGAGCCTTCTTCATCACACACATACACACACACGCTTGGGCCTTCTACATAACACACACACACCACAACGCTGGTCCTTCTACATCGCACGCACACACACATGCTGGGCCTTCATACCACACAACATACACATGCTGGCCTTCCAAATACACACACACACACACCACCACACACACCACACCACCACACCCCCAGGAAGGGAAGCTTTCTGATGCTGCAGCCTTGCAGTGCCTCCAGCGCCCTCTGTTGACAAAGGCTAACATTAAGCCAGGTGCCAAAGGGAGTCATGAACAGGCTGGCTCTAGTATAACAAATTAGTACAAAGAAGGGTGGATTTGGATCTGACAGGCCACATGGTCTCCTTTCACCTCTCCTTCCATCTTCCTGCTTCTTTCCTTTCCAGGTTATATTGAAGTAGTTTGGTCGAAGTAGTTTGTTGAACCACAGTCAAGAATTTTTGTTTAAAATTTGTAAATCAGGTGACACTCATTTCTTCCATGTATTTTTCCATAGAAAGAAGGAATTAAGTTGCATTTTTACTTCTCTTGTTTGTTTAAATTACTTGTTTTAATAATTTCCTAAGATTCAGTGACCTAGTCGATGTTAGGTGTTTTAGCACCCTCCAGGTGCAAGTTATCTTGGGTCCTGGAGTGGTTACACCCTTCTTCCTCAAATTTACAATCCAATTAGCAACCCTGACATGGGAAATAACTAATAACAGATCTGTTGATAACAGATACTAAATGATTATCCATACTACCCCATTAATACTTGATAAAAATGACATGTGAGCTCATTCACACTAAGTCCTCTCAAAGTCACTGTAGTTTGAAAGGCTACTTTTTTTTTTTTTTTTTTTGAGACAGAGTCTCACTTTGTTGCCCAGGCTAGAGTGAGTGCCGTGGCGTCAGCCTGGCTCACAGCAACCTCAATCTCCGGGGCTCAGCGATCCTACTGCCTCAGCTCCGAGGAGCTGGGACTACAGGCATGCACCACCATGCCGGCTAATTTTTGTATATATATTTTAGTTGGTCAATTAATTTATTTCTATTTTGGTAGAGACGGGTCTCGCTCAGGCTGGTTTCGAACTCCTGACCTTGAGCAATCGCCCGCCTCGGCCTCCAAAGTGCTAGGATTACAGGCGTGAGCCACCACGCCCGGCTGAAAGGCTACTTTTAAATGAATAATTCTACATCCTTAAAGGCTATTTTCAGACGCAGTGGCTCACGCCTGTAATCCTAGCACTTTGGGAGGCCGAGGTGGGCGGATCGTTTCAGCTCAAGAGCTTGAGACCAGCCTGAGCAAGAGCGAGACCCATCTCTACTAAAATAAAAGAATTGCTGGACAACTAAAAACATATAGAAAAAATTAGCTGGGCATGGCAGCACATGCCTGTAGTCCCAGCTACTCGGGAGGCTGAGGAAGAAGGATCGCTTGAGCCCAGGAGTTTGAGGTTGCTGTGAGCTAGGCTGACGCCACAGTACTGTAGCCTGGGCAACAGAGTAAGACTTTGTCTCAAAAAAAAATAAAGGCTTTTCCTGATTGATTATAGACGTTATTATTTTAATAGCTACCATTTACTTTACATTATGACATAGGCACCATAGAGAACACTTTACATACATTATCTCAATTTATTCATCACAGTATGCTACGAGGTAGACAGTATTTATCTCTTTCCAAGTGAGGAAAGATTAAGGAACTTGCTCTATACCACACAGCTAGTAAATGACATTGTTGTTTTCAAGCCCATGTATTAGCCACCATACCATATTCCTCATGATAGATAACAGATCTTAAATGAACATTTGGAACAAATTCAACTTTAGAGAAATTAAAGAAACAAATAAAAATCCAGAAATGGACTTTACAATTTTTTTAAAGGAAGAGAGTAAATCAAGCAATAGTGGCTGGTCCAAATGCAGTGGTGTTTACAACTAATTGATCAGAACCAGTTACAGATTCCTTTGTTCCTTCTCCACTCCTATTGCTTCACTTGACTAGCTTAAAATATATCTATAAAAGAAAAAAAAAAAACAGGCAGTAGTGAATTGCCCCTTGCCCACTGTGGCATTACAACTAATTTCACCATTCTCCATTTTCTTCCAGTTCCACTGTTGCTCAGCCATCTGAGATGCCCCATCTCCTCTGGTGTGGAGTGATGGTGGAAGATAATGTACTACTGAAGATGTAATGTAGCTTTCCACTGGAGTCTGGGATTTGCAATTCTGGAGTTAATCATGCTTGTACTGTAATTTTACTAATGAAGTTTTAATTAACAACACTACTTGTATGATATGAATAATATTAGAAATGTTACTAGACTTTTAATCTTGTAAAGTGGTTGTGCTTTTAGAAGAAAAATATTTTATCCAGAGTTGCACATGTTTTATGAATTTAGTGCAGCTGTTATGGCTCACCTCAGAACAAAAGAGAATTGAACCAAATTTGGAGTTTGGGTTTTATGTTTTTGTTTTGTTTGTTTCTCTTTTTAAAATGAAGTGAGATTGTTCACACCACAAAACAAACACACACACACACAAAGAACAGTCATACATTTTGATATTTGAGCCATTCCTAAAGATTTGGGGTTTTCTAAATAAAGATCTAGAAACTTGCCTGCGACCAATCATGGAGCCACGTGAGCTGATCGTGGCTGCACCTGGGGGGAGGGGGAGGAGGGGCATGCCACCTAATGATCAAGCCCTATAATTAGCTTCTCATTAGAGCGTGATGGTGATGTGTGCTGTTAAAATCCAATGTTGTGGGTAGAGAGAATGAGTTTGTGACTAGGCGAGACTAAACTTTTGTTTTCCTCACCCAGTATAAATATATATTATATATTTTAATCTATTTTTATTAGAAGTTTTTCTGCTCTTTCTTACATAAAAGAACCCCAAGCATGCATCTTTCATGTGTGTAAATAATTCATTTCTGGGCTAATTTCAACAGAATCCCAACATTACTGTATAGAGAGAGAACTAGCTTGCACATTTTAGGTCTGTGAAATTTTGTGAGACTTTTCCTGCACTGGACAGTAAAAAAATAATGAAAAAAGACAAAAACAAATTTTTAAAAAATTTAAAGCCACAAAAAAGGCACATAGGGAATTATGTCAAATGTGTTTGTGTCCTTAGGCAAAGCTGTGGGAGTCTTGAAATGTCACAGTAGTATAAACTTATTACTTTTTGACAAATTTTTGCTGTTGGAACACTGAATTTCTCTGTGCATATGTATATATGAATACAATTGAGCCTCTACCTCCTGGAGTTATACAACTTGGCTTGTTTACCTCCACATGCTGATGATGAATATTTTTTTTTTAAGTTCAATGTGGAGACTTGAAACTTGAATGTCCTTCAACTTTTATATTAAAAATAAAAAGACAAGAAATTGAAGATCGTTTTTCACCTGTACAAGGAATACTAATGGATCGTCTTAAAATTGGTCTAGGAAAAAACCTTGGTGTGTGTTATGGACAATTAACTGTTAAAGTTATTGTAAGTTATCTGTATTTAGCAGAGTATTTTCATCTTGAGTGATCTGAGCTGAATTTGAAGACTATTAATAAGTTATGTTTGGAAGTTTTAACTTCAATGAAGTAATTATTTGCTGTGAAAGAAACAAACATTGAATTACTAAACAAAGATGGTGCAATATCTTTTTTTTTTTTATGAGGCTCCTGAGATCAACCCAACTGAAGCATTTCAATTCACTTGAATGAGAAACGTGTTTAGTATCAAAAGAGCCCAAGAAGACACTGGTGTGAAAGGTACAATCTCAGAGGTTGGTCAATTACCGTGGCACACTTTCTGGTCACTTTGTACAATGTAGATTTGAAGTACAGTGGTGAAAACATTAAATGTGACATTTGAAAAAGATGTGTCATCTGTTTATTTTCACTTTTTCCCTTTGTTTTCTCTCTTCAGTATGGCTTGTATCCTGACTTTGCAAAGTTTTGAGACTTTTCCTATTTATATTTCCAGTTTGATCTTTGAGGAAATTAGTTGTTTTTTAAATCTTCCAAGAAATTTTAGATTGACAAAACATTTTGAAAACTTAGTTAATGGATATCAAAGACATGATTTAAATATATACAATATCAAGTTCTGGTAGCTTGCCCTGTAGCCCCAGCTTCTCAGGAGGCTGAGGCAGAAGGATTGCTTGAGCCCAGGAGTTCAAGGCTGCAGTCGTGCCACTGCACTCCAGCCTGGGAGACAGAGCAAGACACTGCCTCAAATAAATAAATTAACTGGCTGGGCACAGGCTCATGCCTGTAATCCCAGCACTTTGAGAGGCCAAGGTGGAAAGATTGCTTGAGGGCCAGGAGTTCAAGACAGCCTGGGAAACCCAGTGAGACCCCACCTCTACTAAAAAAAAAAAAAAATTTACAGGTGCTGGCACACACCTGTAATTCTAGCTACTTGGGGGCTAAGGCAGGAGGATCGCTTGAGCCCAGGAATTCGAGGTTATAGTGAGCCACTGTACTCCAGCCTGGGTGACAGCGAGACCCTATCACTTAAGAAAAATTAAAAATGTTAAAAAGGGACAGTTTCCCTGTAAAAAGAAATTATTAATAAATAAATAAGTTAAAATATGGAAGTCTTTCCAGACCTTAGAGTCTCTAATCCAGTTGTTTTCAAACTTTTTTTCTTTTGAAGCAAAGGACCAGATCTTCATGTGAAATCTTACTCCAATATATTCAGTCTGATACATTAATAAAAGTAGATTGCTCTGTATGAAGTAGACTGGTGAAGGGACTTGACTCCTCTCTGCTCTTCCTTTCTGCCTACTATCCCTAACAGCCCAAAGCACTTCCAGGCCAGGAAGAATTCCCAGCTCAGTGGTGGAATCAAGGCCTGAAATCAGACTGCCTAACTTCAGAATACTTTCCCTGAGGCCGGATAAAGCAACACTGCTCTTGAGTTTAGAGGTGGCATGGACTTCTTCCTATCTTTTCTTTACTTAGCAAAATGAATGGATTTTTTCCCAGCGTGGGAGAGTTGACTGTTCTAACTCATATAAATTAATACATATATATTTATTAGTTTATTCAACAAAATTTTGAATACTTACTAAGAGCAAGAATTGCTTATAAGGAAGCCTTATTAATATCAATAATTCTTTAAATAAGAACACCAGCTTTCATCACTTACAATTACATCACTCACATCTATGGTTGCACATTTTTTTGTATTTTTGACTTTTTTCCTTCAGAGCACATAGAACATTTTGAAATAAAGTTCTTCACAGTAAGTATTAGAGAAAATATTTTGACCTGCTTATTACCCAACGAAGGGGATTTGTGTCTTATTTCTCTATTGTTGGGAATTGCAAAAATGTGGAATTCCTAAGGCCAATAGAGTCAGTATGGACAGATAAGTTAGGGCTGTAATCATCTGCAATTTGTGTGCAGCTTAAGAAACCAGAAGATGGAGATAATCTCTTGTAATGGCTCATAAGGTTTAGAATTTTTATTTTGTTTTCCCTCTATGGTATGTTAATAGATCTTTTAATATAAAATATTTAAATAAGAATAGAATGTAGGCCGGGCGTGGTGGCTCACGCCTGTAATCCTAGCTCTCTGGGAGGCCGAGACGGGCGGATTGCTCAAGGTCAGGAGTTCGAAACCAGCCTGAGCAAGAGCGAGACCTCGTCTCTACTATAAATAGAAAGAAATTAATTGGCCAACTGATATATATATAAAAAATTAGCCGGGCATGGTGGCGCATGCCTGTAGTCCCAGCTACTTGGGAGGCTGAGGCAGGAGGATCGCTGAGCCCCGGAGATTGAGGTTGCTGTGAGCTAGGCTGACGCCACGGCACTCACTCTAGCCTGGGCAACAAGTGAGACTCTGTCTCAAAAAAAAAAAAAAAAGAATAGAATGTAAAATTTGCATGGATTTTGAAATTAAGACAACTTTGGGGACATTTTCAGAAAAGTTTACTATCAACAGAGCTTCACCAAAGGCAATCCTAAAGGGCAGTTACTTCAAAAAAAAGAAAAGTAATAACTAAAAGCAGATCTCCAGTGCAAGAATAGTAAAGAAATTGGTGAGCATGTGGGGAAAATTAAGCATCACAGACCGTATAAAATAATAATGTCTTGTTTGGGGGTGGGGGTGATAAATTACAGCAGCATTCTTTAAACTGGGATACACACCCCCCTGAGGATAAATGAAGACTCTCTAGGAGGTACATGGGTACATAGGTTCTTTTTTTTTTTTTTTTTTTTTCAGTTAGCCAATTAATTTTTTTTTAATTATTATTTTTAGTAGAGATGGGGTCTTGCTCTTGCTCAGGCTGGTCTCAAACTCCTGAGGTCAAACGATCTGCCCGCCTCGGCCTGCTAGGATTACAGGCGTGAGCCACTGCGCCCGGCCGGTACATAGGTTCTTAAGACAGTTAATATCACTGCCTTTTTTCCTCCACCCCCATTCTCTTTCCCTTCAGGATTTCCTCCTCCCTTCCCTCTTCATCATTCTCCCACTTACAAAAAAAATATGTACTTATTATACATCTCAGATATTAATGTGGCACACAGTGTTCCTGGGTTACCAACTAAAGGGACAATTTGAAACAGTTTTTGTTTATAAAGACCATTACCTCGTTCATCTCACTACTTCATAATCCATCAATCCTGAGAGAGAACCCCTGGAAAGTAAACCAAAGAGAGCATTAGGAAAAATACTGAGACTGGCAGTATTTTCTTTCTTCCAGGCAGCAGATTCATGGCACAGCTGTGCCTGTCTTAAAATTGAGAAGTGAAGATGGTTTTTGTGGAAACATGTATAAAATGAACACAGACTTCTTCCAACAGAAGGTAAATCTGTTTTGACTGCTTGGTTTGCCAGTGAGGACTTTCCAATTAGTTTATATGGTAGACATTTTCCATAATTAGAATTAGTAGGAATCTGCAGCTACAAAGTTCTGGCAAAAATATATTTAAAGCTAATGATTAAAAATTATCAGAAAATGTTATAGAAATCTTGGCAAGGATGTGGAGAAATTGGAACCCATGTACGTTGCTGGTAGGAATATAAAATGGTACAGATGCTATAGAAAACAGTATGCCAGTTCCTAAAAAATGATCAAGCAATTCCACTCTGGGTATATATATAAGGAATTGAAGCTGGACACAGTGGCCCACACTTGTAATCTCAACATTTTGGGAGGCCATGGCAGAAGGATTTCATGAGGCCAGGAGTTGAAGAGTAGCCTGGGCAATGTAGTGAGTCCCTGTCTCTGTAAAAAAATAAATAAAATTAGCCAGGCCTGGTGGTGTGCACCGTTAGTCCCAGTGACTTGGGAGGCTGAGGTGGGAGGATCACTTGCACCCAGGAGTTCAAGGTTGCAGTGAGCTATGATCAGACCATTGCACTCTAGCCTGGGTGACAGAGCAAGACCTTGTCTCTGAAAAAAAAAATTGAAAGCAATGACGTGAACA